CTTCACTTCCCTGTAACTGGGGAACACTTCAGTTCCGCGGAGGATCTAGATCTTGTCTAGATCAGGTGCGCAACGTACGTGGTTACGAAATCGCAGGACATCACGAACGGAGAGTCTGTCAATTATCTCCTGGTCGGCGCGTGAATGGGTGCTAGCTATTGTCCGACGGCGGGAATGCGATTATAATGGTGGTGGTGGTGGGGGGAGGTGATGGTAGGAGGAAGAAAAAAACTTCACAGCAGCACAGTTTCTCTGGCAATCAGGTACGCGAGTCTAAATTGGGAAGTGTCGGGCTTGGTGCAAAGGGCGACACTCGGGAGCATCAAACGCAGCATTGTGTCGCGTTTTCTCATCTATGCTGCTCTTCCTAGCCATTGTGTGCGTTAAATCTCGTACATTCTCGTCTGAAGCCCTGGGCCCGGGCCCAAGCCCGGGCTTTTTCATAGCCAAAAATTATTATTATTATTATAGATTGTGCACAAATTGTGCATGTATATTATGTAGAAGGTATGGTAGGAAGAAGTTTGTAATTGTGCGAATTGTCAGGCTGTGTAGTGGTGGTGGATGCAAGGGAAGTAAGCCCATCATGACAGTAATGGCCGAAGCACGGCTGATCAGTAGTCGGTCCGCAGTTGTGACTTTCAACGCGCAGGCGATCCACGACTTGTCTAACGGTCCTGCGCGGGGTAATTTAGCCCGAAAGTGGAAAGGTTTAAACGATTTAGTCTAACTTATTTATGGTCCTGTAAACTATCTAAATATATACATCTAGGCCTGGGCTGAGCCCTGAATATCACTAGGTGTGCACCGTGCACCACATCCGATTTGTGCTCTAGTGTGGGTAGCTCGACTTTATTCAGCTGTTGAGGCGACCAATGGCAGGCAACGTGCGAATTCAAAGCACTGAAAAAGGGAAGTAGAGAGAGAGAGAAATTACTTACTTCTTACACGCCATTTGGATGCTGGGAGTCAAACCCAGGCTTCCCGCTGCAATATTAGAGTAGCAGTTTATTGCGAGTAGGTGTGCACCGTGCACCACATCCAATTTATAGTGTAGGTAGCTCGACCATATGTTAAGATTTTTGGGCGATGATCGAATTATTGTTGCCGCAACTCCTGACTCCACTCTCCAAGTCGACTTGAGTCGAGTCGTGAGCAAGACTCCACTTGACTCCGGAGTCAGCAGAGGTCGACTCGCCTTGACTTCGAGTCACTTGAGTCGATGGAAATGGAATGCATATTTTGTCAATGGGTTGGCCTTGTAGACCTACATCATGATGTAAGAAAACAAATATAAAGGTAAGCAGGTTACACCAGGGGCAAGGACCCAACGCATTCGAAACTGAATGCGGCAGACGCATTCCATCCCCATTTGGCGTGACAGCTTACAGCGTGGGTCAAAGGCGGTTTGTAGGGACAAAGGGTACATAAAGGAAAGACAAAGAAAAGACAAAGGTTTCCTGGGACTAGTGTTGCCGCGGCTCAAGCCGTCACATCCAGTCACAGCTCACCATTTGTGCTTCCATCTGAGTATAATGATACATTGTACCCAAGTCAGTATTTAGAGATGTTTGGGGGAAGCATAGGAACGATTTAAGATACTTAATGTGGCATGACATGCCTTGCTGGTTTTTGCAAGGGGCGAATACCGAACGGCTCGGATCACGGCTTGAGCCGTGAGCCGCGGCCAAAAAGGCTCGATCTTTTGCCTCATAGCGCACCATAAATTATAGATACAACATATGTTACTTGGGAACAAATGAAGCAAACAGTATTTGCAAGATGTCGCACAACATGGATATCCGCCAAAACGTTGCAGGAGCACAGTGGAAGCCGAGCCATCGTCGAAGCCGGTCTGTCACGCGAGCCGAGCCGCGGCAACACTACCTGGGACGCCTCTGGCGCTCCCAGAACCCCCCGGGGCAGCCCAGAAAACCTTTGTCCTTCCTTTGTGTCACAGTGTGCCCTTTGTGCCTGCAAACCAGCTTTGTGTGAGCTGTCACACCGTGACACCAAATGTGTCCGCCGCATTTGAAATCAAATGTGCTGCTCTTTGCCCCCGGTGTTACTGTGGGGAGCTATCAAGACAGTTTTGTGTGCTAGAGGCTCCCATCACCGGCATGATGTTCAATGCTATAGCAGTAGAATTTAATAGATTGTATTTATGCATATCTACTGCTTTGACTAGTCAACTGTAAGTGATCTCTCTTATCTGGATTTGTTGAAAATCCACATGAGTGTTGAGCCAAGAACAACTTTGTTTATCAAGGCACTTCAGGCAGGGTACATTTGACTAAAAGGTATTTTTATGCCGGTATTCAACTCTTTTCACACTAATCACTCTCCATTATGGATCTTACATGTGCTCTCTGTTCTCTGTTATTGTGATTTTGGAGCTTATTGGAATCTTGGGATACCAGAGGGAAAACCAGAAGTCTTCAAAAAAACAACTGAGATAACTTTAAGACCCTTGTTGGGAGTCATATTGCAGAGAAAGTTAGCCATTGAGTATACATGAAGGTGGTGGTAAGAGGTAAAGTAAGTTGGTGTCTGTGGGTCCAGCTTGGTTCGGGATTCGAACTTAGTATGGTCAGAGTCTGGCCTTCCCTTGATATGTACCTCTGAAACGATCCACTGTGATCAATTAATTGCCTGCCAGATGGATAATGGATGTATCCTTGATAAGACCATGTAGCAAATCCCCAATCTTGCTAGATGGTTGTGAATAATGTTGCTGCGACTTCCAACTTGGCGCCGCCAAGTCGACTTCCGAAGTTGATTTAAGTCGAGTCACTTGATGACTTCGCTGCGACCTCCAAGTCAGCCCAAGTCGACTTGGATCGACTTGAGTGACTTGAGTCGGGAAATTTTTAGGACAAGTTTCTCTTCATTACTGGATGTGATTGGGACAGTTTTCATTTTTTTTTTTTTGCAAACTGAATGTCACAAGTGTGTGACAAACAGTGACATAGTTTGCGTTTAGAGCCGGTTGCAAACTCCGATTAAATCTAGAAAAATATAAGAAAAAATATCCAATAACATATATAAGGGTTCTAATGTGTCTGACCCGAAGAATAACCACAGGGGCCTCGTGTAAATCTGAATTAAACAGTGTCTCACGATTTCCTGAATAATTTTGCTTGAGATCCATTTGTCCACAGCAGCCACAGTGTTTCCACGCCATGGGCAGCCATTTACAAAAATTGTCTCGACCTGACAGACTTGAGTCAACTCAAAGTCACTCCAAGTGACTTCACTCGGTCAAGTCAAGTCAAACTCGAATTGAAGTCGACTTGCCAAGTCGTGACTCAACTTTTGGAGTTGCGGCAACATTAGGTGTGAAACACCTTTAGTTATTGGTCCTCTAACCCAGAAGAACGCAAAGCCTAGACGGCTCTTTGTGTAATCAGACTCAAGAACCCTTCATACACACGTTAAGCCCATAGCTAACTGCTCGAATCTCGCAATAGCTCTTGTTGAGTGAGGCCTAGTACACAGGCAACTTATAGCTAATGCATTGCAAATGTCCGTAAAATTGGAATTTTTTACGGGTGTTCAAATGTCAGGCTTATCAATGTAACCAATTCCAGTCTCTCACGTAGCTGTTCCTCACATATCCACAAAAGTTCCCAAGTCAAAAGTGAAAGTCCCATTCTGTTCCTTGCCCAGCATACACACACGCTCCAGGGTCCCATCCTCACTCCTACTCCCACTCCTGCTAACCTATCCACCCTCTCCCTCATTCACACCACATCCACAGGCAGCGAAAGCGGGTACGCCGCCTCGACAGAGACGGAGCTCACGACACTTGGCTTGGGCCCTCTACTGTCACTGCCCATCGCAGCGGAAATGCCTTTGTATGCACAGCAGCCTGCTTACGGTGCTGCTGCTGCATCAGGTGTCGGGGTCCAAGGCTCCGCTGCGCTGAATTCGTCGAGGGTGGTGAATAACGTGCCTACGGGCGACTTCAATGTGCCTGTGCCTGCACCAGGGCATGAGGGCAAGGGGGACGCTCTGATGTCGGGTGTGCAAGGCTCCACTGGGCTGAATTCGTCCCGGTTGGTGGATAACATGCCGACAGGGGACTTCGAGGCACCTGTGCCTGCACCAGAGCACGAGGGTGAGGGGGACGCGCCGATGTTGGACGTGCAAGGCTCCGCTGTGCTGAACTCCTCCCAATTGGTGGATACCGTCCCCACGAGTGACTTGTCGGATTTCAGTGGGCTGGGCTCCTCCGACGGCGTCGTGGGTGGAGGGGAAGACCAGGACGCCGACGCCAAGGAGGGTGATGCACACACGAAGGAGGAGGAGAAGAAGAAGGGGAAGGGGAAGAAGCCGAAGCTGTTGCAGCATCTGAAGGAATGGATGCATGTTGACGGGGGTGGCCGTGTCTCTGCGTAGGCTAGCTGGCTGTGTTGGGACTAGACGTGCTTTGTACTTTGTATCTGTCGATGTAATACGGTTTTGTGTGGTATTTCTGTGTTAATGTACAAGTACTGGACTGGATCAAAAAAAGCAGTAACAGGGCTTGCCTTATTATTCGGATATGGGGATTCGAACCCAGGCGACCTGCCTCAATACATACACCTGCCAAACGGATATTGCGAGCGGGTGCACACCGTGCACCATATCCGATTTATTTTTCACTGTGGGTAGCTTGACTTCATTGTAAGATCTTGGAGCAAAAACCTCGGAGGTAAAAAAGCAGCAAAAAAGACTGTTCATCCATATGAAGCGGATGCTGGGAGTCGAACCCAGGCGACTCACCTCAATAATATGGCGGCACCACATCCGATTTATTCTCAGTGCGGCACCTCGACTTCATAGTAGGATTTTGGGGCAGAACCTTCCGCACTTGCCCAGTGAACGAGACTTATTGTGCATAGTATTTAGCCTTTTCCAAGTTCCAAGTACAGTCGTGAGATTAATTTACTGCAAGAGGCATTTGGGCACTGAGGAAGAAATAGAATAAAAAAAGTTGTAGCAACAATTCTAGGCCATTCGGATGCTGGGAGTCGAACCCAGGCTTCCCACTGCGAACCGCTAGACATACTTTCCTCCTACTGACAGCAGGCGTGCACCGTGCACTACATCCGATTTATGCTTCAGTCTGCGTACCTGGACTTCAAGGATAGAAATTTTGGGTGGATGATCCAACTACGAGGGAAGAAGGGTTGAAAACATGACCTAATGCATATAGAAAATATTCAATTGTGAATGTATTCAGCTCTTGATGAGGCGCACAGTGGCGGGCAATATTGTGCGAGGAACTGAAAAAAGGGACATAGAGAGAGAAAAATTTACCACTTTCTTACACACAGTTCGGATACTGGGAGTGGAACCCAGGCTTCCCACTGTGAATGGAGATACTAATATCTACTGAGAGTAGGCGCACTGTGTACCATATCCGATTTGGTTCTTCGTGTGGCACCTTGGCTTGATGGTAGGACTTTTGGTAGCTGATGAGAGGCACTGGGAAAATGTAACTAAACCTCACCCGTTGCAGCGAACCATATTGAGCTTTAGGGGAGACTAATTGCAGACGGGAAAAAAAAAGATTTAGCGAAATAGCGAAAGAAAAATCACCGCCTCTTATTGACAACTTATTCACCATTGGGATGCTAAGGAGGATCCTGAGCGAAGAGGTCGAATCCGTTGGGACCAATTTCTCAAGTAGACTCGGGTAGAATCCCTACGTCCAAATGACAAACACGTAGAATTGCTTGGAAGTAACGGCAGAACACCGTCAACATAGCTCGGGGTTATCGTACCATTCCAGAGGCATCTTTTAAAATACCAAAGATATTTAAGATTAGACAGCTTGCGCAAAAGCCGCACGAGCCGCACGCGGCTTTTTTGCATTGCGCAATGCCGCACGGCAAATTTTAAATATGAGAGGTCCCAATGAATTGTTTCAACATAAGCTTACCTGAGGCGAAGGAGAGACGCTGTGGGGAGAGGGAGCATCTTCTTCATTGCCTCTGCTGCGTGGGAGGCGTGATAGTGTGGGAAAAGGAAGTGGAGCTTGAGTGATGCCTTCGTGATGCGTGAAAAATACGGCCTCCCACTGTTGCACATTCAATAAATAGCACTCTTGGCAGTGGAGTATGGGATTTAATGGGCATTGAATGGTATTTACTAAGACAAAAATTAAGAATGGCAAAGAAAAAACCCGCAGCTTTGCGCAATGCACAAAAGCCGTGTGCGGCTCATGCGGCTTTTGCGCAAGCTGTCAATTATTTCACAGAAGCTAAACACTTCATTTTCTTGTCCCGAAAGAATCGGCCCAACACAGAGCGCACACAAGTCCTGTCATTCTGAGTAATACACTCATCACTCGCAAAGTCACTGGCGGCCACCAGTGGCCACCAATGGCTATTGGCGGCCGTTGTTGGACAGTGTGTGACAATGAGATAACTGTGACACACTGATTGACACCGGAAATCATCGGCCCACATTATTACTTTGCTCACTGAAATCCAGTGGTTTCTGTTGTGTACTGCTGAACATTGATGGCTTGTACCCTCCGCAATCTTCCATAAAATTTTACTTGCATATGAATTACTGGCAGTAATATCAAGATGAACCTGTGGTCAAGTGCGAGTATAGTCATTTTTTACTGTATTACGAATACAGTACGGCTACGGTACGGTACAAGTGCTCTGACTCGCTCCCCTCAACTTGAGGAAAGGAACACGGTCACATGGTTACATTCAGGAAAGAACGCGACTTTGTTCGGACGTAAATATAGTACGATGTCAGCACTGTGCAGTGTGACTCTAGGCATTGTTTTTGCATTCTCCATACATTTTCTAATCACAGCACATACATTTACTCACCCAGAAGATTCCGTAGAGCAACATAATTCAGGGAAATTGACTAGCTCTTCCAGATCCACAGTGAGTTCCAATGAATCCCACTGGATTTCATTATACTCCTCAACTACTGGTTCTGGGGGCTTCCACTGGTTGTGAAGGCAGACACATTCCATCGAACTGCGTTGAGAACCGGCGTCGGATGGTGGAAAACACTGGAGTTCGGTGGTTTTCAGGACGGAGGCTCCATTGGTATCCACTGGATCTCAGTGGGCGAAAGCTCCATGTGTGCGGCCATTGAAGTCCACCGATTCCCAATGAGTTGACAGTGGAGTACAGCGATCACCAATGCCGACCGTTGCCGATCAGCCGTTTGACAGCTCCGCGTGTATTACTGGTCATTCTTGCCAATGTTGATGCGGATCGGCTGCCCTCGGCAACTTGTCAACACACAACTCACCTTCCCCTTCCATGGAAGGGGGAGATACTTGTTTTCCAACTTTTGCAAGGTAACATTCTGAGGAATCTATCTTGCTAACTAGGAGCCAGGGCCACACTTCACCTCCTGCAAAACCGGATATTAGTATACTCGACGTAACTTGTCCCGACTCTGACCGTGGCAGGATCTAAGTTCTACAAGTCCTCCCAACAAATTCCGCGCTTTGAAAAACAGCTATGTAGCAGGCCGACTCCAACCGTGGAAGGTTGAACCAGCCGCGATCAAGTCACGATATCGGCGGCATGTGGATCGGAATGGTCCGGATCAAGGTCCGGATGGATTCTACACGAATTCGGGTGTGGCGGCAAGAGTCTAGCCGAAATCAGTTTTCTACGCGATCCTCTGGAGATGCCCATGTCCCAGCCGATTCAATCTTCTGTCCTGAGAGGTACGGCTGTCATACCGCACACATATTCTCACCGCAGTATGATTGCGAAGCCCTTGTCTCCGCCTGTAAGCTAGACCAACTTCAAGAGCACGGTCTTCTTCTCATTATTTCACAGATTCAAAATTAATCGCGAACCGTGCCAGAAAATCGATCGAACCGCCCGCACTTTTTTTTTATCTTTCTTTCTTTTGATATATGTCCGGCCCCGAGTCCCCGGATCTGTTGACCATATGAACCGGTGCCAAAATTGGTGTCCTTCCTGATCCTTCCGTCGTTCAGGTAAGTATAATTGCAATTTGCAGACGATCGGGATACTTAATCTCCAGTCGTTGGGGCTACTTGTCGCGAGAGCGTCAGTCTGATCAATAAGCCCTCACTTTGCCTGATCACTTGTTTGAACACCATGTTTGTATTCGCGTTCCAAATGGCATCTCATGCTCTGACGACTTTTGCGCATGCAGATATGGGATGGGTATCAAGCCAGCCAGCCTGCCAATTTATCTAGATTCCATCCGGGCGTCGTCAAGTGCTATTGTTTTTTGTATCTACATCTGATTCAGCTCAAGGATATCTATTGCTTGCCCTGCGGCCCAGCGTTTACTGTACTTATATCATGCTGTGCGTTCCATTTCACCTTACTACAGGTCGAGCTTCCAAAGCAGATCATGAAGACATGGCCCTGCTCGCAATGACCAGGACAATATATCTCAATCGGCACTAGTATCCTGAAGTGTGTCAGACAAATTCAATAAAAGGACTGTAGCGCAGAACTCTGGATTTAAACCTGAAGGAGGGCCATGACGCCAACCATCGACAGCACATTCGAAAATGTCGTCAAGACCCTGCCCGAAGCTCCATTTCCCCTAGACGCCGAGGGAGCCGAATCAGTTACCGTCCAGACCGGGACGACAATTCCCGACAACGTGACGATGGCTTGCGTAGTTTCCTTCGGTAAGGTGACCCTGTTCACGCATGTACCCCGCCCATCGGCCCCAAAGCCACAGCTCTGGACGATCGTGTTGCCGGGATAGCCCACGGGAACAGCGGTTTCAATGTAGCCGGACGCGTTCTCGACAAACGTAACTGCAGAAATAAAACAATCCCACCCACACCGTCAGCGGATCCAAATCAGCATTCACGGGTGTGATCGGTGCACCAGTCTCGGTCACACCGGATGAAGCAAAATATTAAGATAGGTCAATATGTTTGCTAAGAGTATATAATTCAGTAGAAGAATCAAAGTTTGTAGATAGTTGATCTATTGATTTGGTGAAACCACCACAGAAGTAGCTGCAATCGGGGGCTTTTTCAAAAGTTATATGTTTATTTATTGTCAGCGAGTTATGAAAGGACTGCTGAAAGATGGAATTTCAGGAGCCATTTCCAGAAGTTATATGTTTATTTATTGTCAGCGAGTTATGAAAGGACTGCTGAAAAATGGAATTTCAGGAGCCATTTCCAGTGGGAAGAAAGAGGTTCTTTTGAATAGACTTTCCTAAATTCCTTTGTTCAAACAAAGGAATTTATGAAAGGGCTACTGAATGACCCTATTTCTTCTCACAAGAAACAGCTGCTGAAAGTTCATGTTTCAGTGGTCCTTTCATAACTTGCTGACAATGGATAAATTTACGGGTTTTTAAAACAGCTGTTGAATGTGGGAATTTCCGTGGCAATTTCATACCAAATGAATAGATCAACTATCTACAAACTTTGATTCTTCTACTGGATTATACACTCTTAGATAACATATTGACCTATCTTAATATTTTGCTTTATCCGGTGTGGGTAGTCAGGGCACTGATTTCGGTGATAGTAGTGTCCGTGAAGAAGTCTACTTCGGAGGTTACGACGGCGACCACGACGTAGGTCGTGCCGCCGATGGAATCGGTACCACCCACTGAAATGGAGTCGCTGACTGCCGCCGAGACCGTTTCAGAGATATCTGAGGCTGAGGTGATGTCATATAGGATCACGTTCTGTGCATATGCCGCTACAAGGAGAATGCGCGTTCGGATTGAATGGAAAGTATAGGGCGATGGACTTACAATGCATCACTGGCGGGATAAGGGCCAAGTGGAAGAGTAGCATCATTATAACACAGGGGAATTCAAGTTCAAGGCGGAAAGAAGAAATTTCAGGGACGGTATATAACTCGTCCATAGATGTGACGAAAGAATGACGAGCCTGGGGATACACACACCAGGCATACTATGATTCCCTCCCGCTCTAATATAATCCTGAAATACCATTGACACAGCTGAGATCCCGGAACAAAACCTCATCCTGGCAGGGCTGTCGGAGGTTCACAGGGTGAGTTAGTCTTGGTTAGTCTCGATGCGTAGCCGATACATCACTCAGGGCACGTTATAAGAATATTCAAAAGATGTGGGTCAGA